GTGCTGGGTTTCTTTTACGTTTGCAATTTAGCAATTTGTAATTTTTTCCAAATTTTCCCAAACTACCAAAGTAAAATACTCTTAGCTCTTTCGGTCAAGTCACGTAAATACGTAACTTTACCGAAAGACCCAAGAGTATGAATTCCTGCAGTCACGAAAGCTTTATACCAAAGTAACACTGAATTATCATTACTTGAAGAGGCACAGCGAGACTGTGTGCCCTAAGTTGTCTGACACAAGTTAGAAGCTGCGTTAATTAACAATAAAATGTTCAAAAGTCATGGCCATATGACGTTCTGAAACATTCGCGTAATAACCCTGTAGTTGCGTTGGCTTATACTGTAGTTGGTTTATGGCTGCCCAGCCTGTTAATATAAGATGGAGGACCCGGCACAGGGATGCCAACAGGTTTTAGGAGGCCCTGAGCCAAATGCCAGATGAGGCCCTCTCGATCCATTCTAAGGCCACCTCTGAGGCCCCTTCTACCCGTACTGAGACATCCTCTGAGGCCCGCGTGGCTTATTCTGAAGGACCCTTTTGCTCTCCGTGGCCCTGTCTGGCCACATCAAACCAATTAAGGTTTGGCACGTGCCGGTAAATGTAAAACCCATGATGGGCTGTCATTCACTTCTGGGGCTCGGTAAGACGGGGATTCGCAGTGGAGTTGTGAATTTGCGATTTAAGAGAGCCCATTTCAAACCGAGGCACTGCTCTGGATCATTGCTATTTTGGTTACAAAATAAATAAGTACGGTACAATTTTTAACTAAATGTTGTGTTGTCAATCGTAGGCAGAGGGCAGGATGCCTTATTGCTACATCTCTGTTGTGGAGATGACACTAACCATAAACAGCTGTGTCTTGTCTCTACATTGGTGAGCTGTTCATTAATTTCCATATCCACCGCTGAGAGTTTTAAGCGTGCCTACCTACCTGTTTTCCGCTGCTAATGGAAACGTGCTGTTACAGTACTTAAATATATCAAAGCTAATGATTATTTTATACACACAGGGGTGGTGTAGTCGCAGAGTAGTTAGCGCGCTCTGAACCCGGCGACCTGAATTTAATTTCCGGTTACGGCCCACTTTAATAATGTCAAAACTGATGCTGCCTGACCCCCTTCACTGACATGCATGGTGAAGTATGTTAACAAAAAATAACCCATACCCAAGATGGTGTTGGGAGGTCTTGGTCCAATGACGGATTTAGAATTGCCGTCATTTATGTATTATTTACATTATATAGGCGCACAGACACTTTTAATCGATTACTGCCAGGGAACGATCTTGCATCAAGCACCGTACACCTCAGTCGACATCTCTTTTGAATCCAGAACGATGTTTTGCCGTCGGAAACCGCTTCACGAGACAACAAAAACACTCAGCACTTGGAGTGATCTCCATCGGTGACCCCTAAGCTGAGCGAGTGTTGGAAAAAAAATCCACATTCTCATGGCAAGGGCCAGCCTCTGCCGGGAACAACCACTCTTGATTGCCGCCAAAGTGGTTACTATTTTATCGACCCCAGAGAAATGTTGGACCCCCCCCAACCATAGAAGTAAAGAGCCTCCAATCTGGGTTACAAGACAAAGGTAAGCTGCACTTTTTAACTCTGAGCAAGTCCACGATTTGGATTCATGTGGTGTCGTAAATATGACGAGAGGGAGCATCTCGAGACGCTGCACAGAGAGAGGCAGTCGCACACAGGCGGCCCGGCGTCTCAGACGCACGGTGGCATTTGCTTGCGAAACGTCGGGCGCTGGCAAGGCCTAGCAGCGGTGCGTCCCCCACCTGCGACAGAAGTCCACGGTCCGAATGCAGCGGCTGCCCCGGTTAATCGTTTGGCGCCGTCTGCTTCGGAGTGGACCTCGCTGACCGCGTGACGTCAGTCGCAAGAGTTGGGCCATTGCGTGCCAGCGTGAAGGGCCACATTTGCTAGGATTTGAAGAATTTCCCGTAAATTACTCAATTGTTGGGTATTACACAATGCAACATCGCCCCCCCCCCCCCCTATTGCACAGCGCTTGGCAGGACCCTCTTGAAAAGGAATCGGCATACTCGGTGATGCTTCCGTGGGTAAAACGGGGTAATACTATTTAACACGTAGGCTTTCGCAAACAATATTATCCATAAGAGGTTTATTTTTGGTTAGAGGGATATAGAATATTCAATGTGGTATTTTACGTCCATGCCTTTGGTTTGTATAATAGTACGTATTGTGAATACATTATTTTTTTTATAGAGATAGGGAAACAACCTGCGATGCAATTCCCACTTCCATAGAATGAGACAATTCTCAGGCCTGTTGTCACCATAAGGGTGTGCGATGCGTACACTCGTGAATGTCAATGTAAGTCATGGTCAAGTCATCGTCAGTGTAATTCATAGTCAGTGTAAGTCATAGTCAGTGTAATCCATAGTCAGTGTAAGTCATAGTCAGTGTAAGTCATAGTCAGTGTAAGTCATAGTCAGTGTAATTCATAGTCAGTGTAAGTCATAGTCAGTGTAAGTCATAGTCAGTGTAAGTCATAGTCAGTGTAAGTCATAATCAGTGTAATTCATAGTGTAAGTCATAGTCAGTGTAAGTCATAGTCAGTGTAATTCATAGTCAGTGTAAGTCATAGTCAGTGTAAGTCATAGTCAGTGTAAGTCATAGTCAGTGTAAGTCATAGTCAGTGTAAGTCATAGTCAGTGTAATCCATAATCAGTGTAATTCATAGTCAGTGTAATCCATAGTCAGTGCAAGTCATCGTCAGTGTAATTCATAGTCAGTGTAAGTCATAGTCAGTGTAATCCATACTCAGTGTAAGTCATAGTCAGTGTAATTCATAGTCAGTGTAAGTCATAGTCAGTGTAATCCATAGTCAGTGCAAGTCATAGTCAGTGTAAGTCATAGTCAGTGTAATTCATAGTCAGTGTAAGACATAATCAGTGTAATTCATAGTCATTGTAAGTCATAGTCAGTGTAATTCATAGTCAGTGTAAGTCATAGTCAGTGTAAGTCATAGTCAGTGTAATCCATAGTCAGTGTAAGTCATAGTCAGTGTAAGTCATAGTCAGTGTAATTCATAGTCAGTGTAAGACATAATCAGTGTAATTCATAGTCATTGTAAGTCATAGTCAGTGTAATTCATAGTCAGTGTAAGTCATAGTCAGTGTAAGTCATAGTCAGTGTAATTCATAGTCATTGTAAGTCATAGTCAGTGTAATTCATAGTCAGTGTAAGTCATAGTCAGTGTAAGTCATAGTCAGTGTAATTCATAGTCAGTGTAAGTCATAGTCAGTGTAATTCATAGTCAGTGTAAGACATAATCAGTGTAATTCATAGTGTAAGTCATAGTCAGTGTAATTCATAGTCAGTGTAAGTCATAGTCAGTGTAAGTCGTAGTCAGTGTAATTCATAGTCAGTGTAAGTCATAGTCAGTGTAATTCATAGTCAGTGTAAGTCATAGTCAGTGTAAGTCGTAGTCAGTGTAATTCATAGTCAGTGTAAGTCATAGTCAGTGTAATTCATAGTCAGTGTAAGTCATAATCAGTGTAATTCATAGTCAGTGTAAGTCATAGTCAGTGTAATTCATAGTCAGTGTAATTCATAGTCAGTGTAAGTCATAGTCAGTGTAAGCCATAGTCAGTGTAATTCATAGTCAGTGTAATTCATAGTCAGTGTAAGTCATAGTCAGTGTAAGTCATAGTCAGTGTAATTCATAGTCAGTGTAAGTCATAGTCAGTGTAAGTCATAGTCAGTGTAAGTCATAGTCAGTGTAATTCATAGTCAGTGTAAGTCGTAGTCAGTGTAAGTCATAGTCGACATTTTTTCCTTTCCGCTCATGTCAGTAGGTAGCCCTGAGCCGTTAGCGGATATTCCACATTCTTATGGATGGGACAAGTTTATCTGTATAACTACCACTGGTAAATAAAATAAGAAAAACGCAAGACTTATTATATTCTCCTGGAGGGTTTATTAACTCAAATATATCCCCTCATTAACATATCGCTCAAAATGCTGTTTATTGATGAACACCTATAATAATATGATCAATGTATCTTACAATGCAATAAATGACTCCTCATGGCATACCAGTGTTATCTAAAAAAAATACATCTTTAAAATGTAAATATAATCATTTGCGAGGAGTGCTCACTCCAAATAGCAGCCGGCCTCGTGTGAATGCCCGCCTGAGTTCTACTCGGGGTGAGGCTCCACTCACTCCCATCACACGAGCACCACCTGGTGAGGCTGCACGGCTTGGAGAATCCAAAGTTGTCAATGGACGCTGAAGTAGATCCCTGCCATCGTAATGTGGATGTTCCACCAATGGCCAATGTCACCAAAGGAGATGAGCAAAGCTCATCGCTTGATAAGGGCATTGAGATATTTCCATGTTTTTTCTTTGAATTAGAATAATGGATACAGACTACTTCACTACAATATTTCACCATTGCAAACATTCAATTATGCACGTTTCTTAAAATATATCCGAAGCGGAAATAGCCAAACAGTTTGGGCAGCTCATTTCAATGGGGCATGACATATTTTAGGGAAAACAACAGTTCTTGTGATATGTCCCCACAATAGAAATGTGGAATATCCACTAATTGCTTAGGGCTGCCGACAGAGATAAGCGCTGAAGCACACTTATTTGACTTCATGATTTCATGCTTTTTTTTTGCAATGATAAATTTCTCTGAGAAAATATCTCCGCTTAAAGCCCTCTATATCAGCCAGCCTGGTCAACAGCGCACCCTATTCCCATCTCACATATTAAACAATAAAAACAAACGCCTACCAGTGTTCATTATTCATACGCATGTAACATCTGCACTGGTGCAAACGAAAGCAAAACGATTCTACTCAGAAATGAAACTACGCGCGCGCAAGTCAATTGCATCGTCACGAGAAACGCGGAATGTACGGTGCAGAATTAATTGAACAATCAAATAATGCGAACGGCACAATACTAAACGTGGTATTAACATGTCTTAATTGCACACGATTTTCATACCTTGAGCCCGGGCCAGCAAACACATGCCCAAGCTGCAAAGAAGCCACAGGACGGGCGATGCCATGAGTGCTGTCTTCAGCCGGAATCGGAGTAAATTATCGGCGTGAAAAACTCCGGCTTCTGAAACCCACTTTGGCGAAATTTCTTTCAAGGGGCGCTAAACAAATAAGTTGTGTGTGTTTTTTTTTTAGGGGTTTGCAACCGTCGTTGGGAAAGGCACTTTGTGCAAGCAGTCTGCTTACAAGTCTATTCAACTGTGGCCAGTGCTTTATTGCTTGCGAATTATGCAGTCAGTGCAAATGCCATAGCGATGTGAAAACTGGCACCAGAGAAAAACTGGCACGCTCATGTGAACAAATAACTTGCTTGGGACGAGACTCAAAAACCGCCCAGAAAGCGAGGATTATATATATCTTTTGAAGATATGAATTGGATGTCTGTTGTGGCCTAACTTAAGATGGATTGAAAGTGCTATTCTTCTCGATGTTCATGATCACGCTCACACAATTAGGGTCGGAGCCGTTGGCTCGTATAGTGAAGAGGGGTGCGTGAATGGTTATGCAGGTCGACTTAGTCAGACACGAGGCTGAAATTTAAAAAATAACAAGTACAACTTGGGTATATTATGAGCGGCTGGTGTTGGGCCCACTGATGCAGAGTGCGCTATCCAATGCAGGGAATGTTGATGTGATTGTTCGCGCGTTTGGTTGTCTGCCGTGTTTGCAGACAACAAAGGTAGAGATATAACGACGGTAGAGACAGAGAGATGACGTTAATGTTGTGCGAGAGTGTTCACGCCACACTACGCTGATGAAATTCTCTGGCATGCGTCGTGACGGGTACTGCAAGATCTGACCGTGTCCGTCCAGTGCTCACTCGAGCTGCATTGGCTCCCGGTTTGCCGAACGAATCCATTATTTAGGTCGCACTAATTACACACGAAGTGCATGCCACTAACGAAGCACAACACCTCGCTGATCTCGTCAAGAAGCATAAACCATCATCGCGTGAACTCCGATCATCCTCGCATCAGTGGCTTTTGCTCACCACCGAAGAAAGACGGTCACTGCATCGCGCGCTTTCAGATGCGCTTCTGCGGCCGTCTGGAACGCTCTTCCTTCCGATATTAGGAAGCCATTGGAGCTATGCACTTTTAAATCTGAATTGAATACGAATTTTTTTTAGAACTTATTTTTGTGTTCAGTTTGTTGTCCTCCTCTTGCACCTCCGATTTGTGCGGTTGACTGCGCACGGTGCGAAATAAGTTTAATGTACATAGTATATACACGTTTGGCTGCATTACTAACTTGATAAAAACAAATACAGTACAGTAATTCAATGTTTCTATTTATGTCTTTAATCATAACCCTCAAATAACTTCAAAAAGCGGCAATCATTTTATACTGATGAAATAATAGAATTCAACTTCAATGTAGTTGAATTCATGACCGAGTAAAAGACCTTGATCGATGTTTAATCTGCCACGACGATTTTGTCTGAGAACATCTCCATACACTGAATACGTCATTGCCACAACATGTCATGAGTGTATAAGTGCTCAAACACTGGGGGAATGCTAGTATCCTTCGTCATCTTGAGTGATTATAATTCCACATTACTATGGCAGAGACCAATCTCAGCATTGTAAAACCACTTCTGACTTACAAAAAAAATGTGTGTTTACAAAGTGGTTTTAATTTTAACCACCCCAAAGGAATAGTGAGTGACCTTAGTTGACTGGCCAGCATTTGAACGTCATGCTCACGAAATGTGGTGCTTTGCTATCTAAACAACTACTGAGTACTCAAAGTACTCTAAGGTAAGTTACTATATTTACATGTATTCCTCGATTTACGAAAGGGATGCATTCTTTAAAAAAAACACGTAGAACGAAATTTCGTAAATCGGAATGCCGTTCCCCATTCATTTAATACAAAACAATGTAGGTACAGGTGTTTCGGACAGCCATTTCAACTCTACTCCTACCCTAAAAACTATACACCCGTATGCCCTTATCACAATCCAAAAAAAAGATGTTAAACCGATTGAACAATAACAAATTCACAACTAAAACAATTCACCTGTTTTGTCCAGGGACCTCACCAACAGATCAGCGTGTTGGCGCGACTGGCAAGGTGACTTGGAGGCGCCCACTGCTGTACCTCAGGGACATCGCGCCGCTGGGGCTGATGGGTAACCCCGCAAGCCCTCCTCGCATGGCTTCTCCTTTGACGATCCTCGTGGCGCGTGGCCGCGGTGAAATATCGCGAACGTGGAAGTTCGATTTCGTTCATCGAAAGGTGTGCCGTCATTTGTCAATCGCGTTTCACGCGAAATTTCGGATACCGAACGGTCGTGAATCGAGGGATACCTGTACAGGTGTTGTACACGGTGTTTAGGTCAGCCAGGTGACACAATGGTTAGAGGTCATTGCTCTAGAATCAGAATGTTGTCGGTTCAAATATCTGGTCGGGTGTCAGCTGTTCATCCTTCTGCATGTCAACAGTGGTTGTCCGTAAAATAATTTGTTCCTGCCATAGCAATGGGGAATTTCCACCGCTGGTTCAGGACTGAGCCACTGGGACAAGTTCTGCCCCTGTGGTCACGTGTTGTATAAAGTTCAGTACTCTGGTTGCTGTTCACATCTGCTCGTCACTTTGAACCGTGTCACACAAATGAACCAAAATTACTGGCTTAAAAATAAACGCTGATACTTTAATCGATTGAGATTATAAATGTCTTGCTGAACACCAGATTCCTTAGACACGAACGCGGCCATGAAATTCTAATGGTTACACCGCTCATTAATAGTAATTTGACATGTGACTTTCAAACTACCCTTCTGTATGAGCAATGTTCTTTTTGATACCATTAATTGCTTTGTTTGGATTTTCATTTGTGAAATTTATACCACTCCGAGTATAAGTATGGAGCCAGCCGTCATAACGTTTAGAATTCGCGTGTTTAAAGCTACGGTTATAATGTCATTGCATCTATAATCATATTCTTGGTTCTTTCGTTAAAGTCACGGAGAAGGGAAACAATAAAAATAAAGCAATTATTATTTAATTATTATTTTATTGTTTCCCTTCGACGTGACTTTACCGAAAGAACCAAGATTATGAATCCCTGCAGTCACGAAAGCTTTAAATCAAAATTTGCATCTATAATCATTAACTTGTAACCATATGATAGTGAGCCCATCAATATTGTGCATAGCACAGGCGTGATAAATGATCTCTCTCGTCATCGTGAGCCAGATTAATTGAATTCTGCAGCGGGGACAAACTTCTACACGGCGCTGTCTGCACGCACATGGAACACGTGTCCACGGACCTGACCCTTTCGGGACCCAGAAAAATGTCTTGTCTGCGTGTGTCTATATCTTTGTATTGTTTGTCTCGCTGTCTGTCTTATCGTTCTGTCTCTCTCCACCACCTCGCACAGCGGAACCCTTCGGTTTGGCTGCCGACGGACGGCACGTAAGAAGTCCAACGTACGTACACGCGTACGTAGACATCGCTGTTGCACGCTGCCACCTGCAGGAATTCCCACTTCACCACTGGGCCGGATGAGCAGCACTCACCTCGCTTCCGTTGGCTTTAGGCTCCTGTGGTCTCCTGAGGAGCCAGATGCACCGACTCAGGTGCGATGAACTCCACTCAACTCTGCCGAATCCCACCACCGTCGTTATCCCTTGGGGCCATCGCGGGCAGCCCACCCGCCCTGCTGCACCTGCAGCGGGCGAGCAGGAGGACCCTGCTGCACCTGCAGCGGGCTAGCAGGATGACCCTGCTGCACCTGCAGCGGGCTAGCAGGAGGACCCTGCTGCATCTGCAGCGGACGAGCAGGAGGACCCTGCTGCACCTGCAGCGGGATAGCAGGAGGACCCTGCTGCACCTGCAGAAGGCGGGCAGGAGGACCCTGCTGCACCTGCAGCGGTTGAGCAGGAGGACCCTGCTGCACCTGCAGCGGGCTAGCAGGAGGACCCTGCTGCACCTGCAGCGGTTGAGCAGGAGGACCCTGCTGCACCTGCAGCGGGCGAGCAGGAGGACCCTGCTGCACCTGCAGCGGGCGGGCAGGAGGACCTTGCTGCACGCGTGCTGCACCGCTTTGCTGGTTCCGAGCTGGATATATGTACAGTAAGTGAGTCTACGGGTCTCTACGTGAGTCTGCGGATCCTGTGCGAGTCTTTTGGTTTCTGTGAGGCTATGGGTCTCTGGTGTGAGTATGTGGGTTTTGATGTAAGACGATGGGTCCCTGTCTGCGACAATGAGCCTTTGCGTGCATCTATGCGTCTCTGAGAGTGTATGGGTATCTGTTGAGACTATAGGTGTCCATGTGAGTATGGGTCTGTGTGTGAGTCTATTGGTCTCTGTGTGAGTGTATTGGTCTCTGTGTGAGTCTATTGGTCTCTGCGTGGGGAGTCGATGCGTCTCTATGTGAGTCTGTGGGTCTCTGTGTGAGATTATTGGTCACTATGTGGTCAGGGTGGAAGAGCAGCATGGAAGAGTAGGCCAAATACTCGTAGGAGGAGCTCTCTGGAGCTCCCTCTAGTGGAGGCCCAGCAGTGGTGTGAGCAAGCACTTGCACCTTCACCATTCAGTGAGAAGAGCTATGGTGGGAAATGACCCCCAATACCTGGCAGGCCCCAACCAATAACACGCAGCGTTCCGTACATACATAGTAGCGTTATAGAGCTAACATTTAATGCAAACCCTAATTGTGTATTTACATGTTTACGATGAATAATGTAACAAAACTGTATTTACAACGGGACCCATGATTCATTTATACAATGTACATGTCTAGGTGCTGCTTTCTACTTTGTGGGCCTGCAGTCTCTTGAAGGAGGTTCAGAGTTCGCTCTGCGATACCCGTGTCCACGTGCCGTTCTCTATCACGAAGGGCGACCTCCACTGCTCTGAGATAAATCTGACTGAATTCTTCATCTTTTAACAGGACGCAAATGGCACCGGTGGTATAAATTGGTGCACTACAAATCAATACGCACACGCACGGATGCATCATGGCGTGGCAAGACGTTGAGGAATGGCAATGATGTGGAAAGATCTTCATGCACCAGTGGATAGATCAGAGATGTCCATAATGATGATGAACATCGATTATTACACGGTAGTTGGTGTGCATGTAGGTGTGGCTTGGCTTAATATTGCTGTAGAGAGTATAAGTTCACGTTCTTGATCTCTGCACATGTTTTACAGTAGATGTGTGTATGTATGTATGCGTGTTGAACTTCTTTCACACCGTACGTAGCTAACCGTGCTAATCGGAGGTGCGGGAAAGTTGATAAGGATCCTTCTGGGCAGGGAGGATGTTTGTCTAAAAGGTGTTTCTGGGCCATGCTGGACTCCTCCGTAGTGGCATTAAGATATCAGGGCCGCTGCACTTAATAATAGCGAC